TAGATACAAACAAACAGTTTTCAGAAACTACAAACCTCTGCGTCGCTGACGTCCTCCGTCTCCAAGTCGATGTCAAACACTCCCGCCATCCTGTAACACAAACAGCACAAACCTTTCACCACAGAAACGCCTCCGAAGTGGAAATTACACCTGAGGTCTGCTCCAAGTAMAGTAGAGACACAAACAGCAGGATTTAAATAAAACCCTTCCTTATCATGAAATTTCGTTGTTTGTGTAACAAGCAAACACAAAAACWGYTAGAACTCAGTCCTTTTGCAGACAATCAGCTMAAATTTGGAGTGTTAGGAGCTGGACGTCCTTCATCACATCCTGCGAGCGCTAATAGATCGCACAAGATCTTAGCTTAAAYATTTGGCATGCAAGGTGGTGAGAAATGTGCTTTTTTTTATGACTAAATAAGAATAATTTGTGTTCAGGAATCCTGATGGTTGTGGTTCAGGCTGACCATGTTGAGCAGAKGGGGCAGAGGCACAAAGGAAAGTGGAGTCAGCACCAAACTGGACAGAACCTGACAAAGTCAAGAGTAAAACAATCTGTGTGTCAGCGTCACGGCAGGTCTGCTGTCGATACGGGCCATGCTTCAGTGTTTTTAAAGTACTGCCCAGAAATCTTAATCATCACATTATTTCTTTAAATTTAGCTTCAAGCTGCCAGACGCTGTTGTAATCTTTTAAAGTGGTTAATCAGCCGTTATTCATTCTTTCTGAAGCTCGTTTTGTAGTTTTTATTTGGACTATGACTTAACTTTGACCTCTGAATCATGAATGGATGAATCAGAGTTTTGTTGACACACAACAGTCGGTCACAAAGTACAATATGTTCCCAACTGTTTAGCTGAATTTATAAAAAATATTTCAGAGTTTGACCAACAAAAAATAGGACTGTTTGCATCAACAGGGTGATTTCCAAAGAGCTGCTGGCTAAAAACGCAGCAATTCTTGCAGTTTTGTAATTTACTTTGTGCAAAAATAACAAGACGACAAAAAAAATAAGCTACAACCACCTCTTGGATGAGACATCCAGTGAAAACACAACTAAATCCAACCTTCACACATCTGAACTGACTGTAGCTGTCAGTAAAGAATATTAATTGAACAGCACAAAGTGAACTTGAACATAATTATTCATTAGTTATTAATAAATATCGATGTAGCTGCCAGGATAAACAAACCCAGGAGGACATGATAAAAAAAGGTGTGTCACACAGTTAACACCCTGTTTATGGGCTGCTGTTTGTAAAGTTACACAGTCAAAAATTACCACCAATATTTTTGTTTTATTTA